TATAGTCATCATTTCCAGACTTTACGTGAGACGTCAAACGTTCAGTCCAATTTTCCTTCCTGGGTAAGTTTTTGTTTCCTGTCTCTGGCAGTTTTAAAAACATAATGCTGGTCTGGGGAGTGGGTCTGAAACTGGGATGGACATTGCTGGTGCTGTGCATGTCCAGTGCCTCAACACTGGATGTTTGATGGGCCCGTGGCAGCCGGGGTCACTCTACTGAGCAGATACTCCCTTGTAAGCCAAGATCTTATGGCCAACTGCTCGGCTTGTGCCTTCTAGGTTTATGGAGTCTGTTCACCTGGGTCGAGGGTAGGGGGCAAGATGGCCAGGTGCAATGGCATGTACTCAGGGAGTGACATCTTGGGGACCTGCACACAACTGCTCTGTCATAACTTTGTAAAAACTGGTTTGAATTAGGAACCAAAGGCTATATGTTATATTTTTGATTGATACATCTCTTTTCATCTGTTGATCTTTTTTTTTTTTTTTGGTGTATGGGTGTATGCGTTTATTGTTGAAGAAGTCATGTTATGTGGAAGCATCCTGTTATGGTCATTGAACATAATTTGCTCTTCTTTATGTTTCCAGTAAACTGGTGGTTATATTAGGAGGCTTGATTAAGTTTTGTGATATTGACAACAATGCTACAAAAGTGTTTTGAATCCCCTATTGTGTGACATTGGGAGACAAATGTTTGGTGGCCTTGTCTTTTTGTGATGTTTAGGATTGGTCAGTGGCTTTCCATTTTATCATCTGATGTGTTTATTATGAAAGTTCCCATCAGCTTTCTATCTGATGGATTATTCATTGATGAACTTTGGGTTGATCCATTACTCTATCAAGTATTTCAAAATGGTGTTATTTTAACTCTATCCTCTTGCAGTTATTAGCTGAAATTTTCTGTAAGGGAGGACTTTACCTTAGTTAACTTTTTGATTTCCTCTATGACTCTTTGGTCATAAAATAAGACAGGATAAATGTGATTTTTTCTTCCCTTTCATCATCAGATTTTTAGAGTAATGGTTCTTTAGATTCCTCAAAAGCTGAACTACTAAATTTTTTATTTTAAATTTTTTCTTATTATTCTGGGCTGAGGGATTTAAACTTATTTGATATATTTTATATCATTGAAAGTACTATTTTATCTGACACTCAAATTGTCCCATCTGTGGCCAATGGGAGGACTTTCAAATTGGCTCTAGAGACCTTCTGACGTGGTCTCGGGAGTCTTTGAATTTCCAAGCTCCTCTGGTATGTTTTGTACCCCTGAACTAGAATCAGCTTTATTTCCAAGGATTGGCCAGACTTTTAAGTTCTCAGGTAAAGAAATGAAGTGACTTGATGGAAAGATGCTGTCGGAAGATTTGCTTTGGGCCCTTTTCACTGTTCGGCGCTGCCGCTACAAAGTCTGAAGCAGGCATGCTTGTTGGCCTGCCAGCAGCCTTTCCCTTTTCCTTCTGTGAATTACAGTTTACGCAGCGCCATAGGTTGACTGACAGCTGCCATGTACTCACTGTCTGAGCTTCCTGTGTCCTGATTTGGGCAATGAGATATAAGGGGGAAGGTGTCGGGAACTTATTTAGGATTGGTTTGTAATTTTACTTTAAAAAAATGGGTGTTTTGCCTTTGAAAAATTTTTTTATATTATATTTAGTTTTTAAAAAACTGTTGTGACTGCTTTTCATATTCCAAGTGGTCTGGATGATGAAAAACAATGGGTAACTTATAAATCATCTCAATTTCTTTTGTAAGTCTCTTAAATGACTTTACCAGATATAGATTTATCTCCCTAATGACATTTTGTTCTGGGGAATATCTAATAATTATAATAACTAATAATAATCCTTTTTTGTACCAGGAAGTAGTATAAGGGCTTTCATGTATTAGCTCACTTAATCCTCAAAATGATGCTATTTTCATTACCCTCTGACGTGTCCACTGGCTTGCGGTGCCTGCAGCGTTATGGATGGAAAATCAAGACATTCACATGGACTACCGAGTCCTGTGGAGGAAAAGGGATGGCCCAGCTACTCCCTCAAGTGCGGAGAGCCTCAGAGCGGCCTGGCCACCCTCTCAAGGGAAAAGCGCCGCAACCCTTACCTAGATGGGCTTTTATTGTTTTTTTTTTTTGCACAGGAGTTCAGGTACAGCTTATTAATCACTGTCAGGCAGTAAACAGTAGATAGCATACAAAGAACTATTGGGCTTTTCTAAGTCAGGGTCCCTCAGCTAAAAGGCTACAAAACTTTGGGAAAACAAACTCATTTTCTGTCTGGGCCTTTATCATTTAACTAAGAGCATTCTCAGCAAAGCAGGCTTCACAGGATTTTACATATCCTTTCTCAGGCCTGATCACCTGGGGAGCCCACCCTTTCCAGCACAGGGCTGCACCGCCCTCTGTCATTGTTTCAGGCTTAAGTCAGGCAGAGGAGGCAGATAGCCAAGGTATTCTCAGAGACTTCTAGCTGACAGACTGAGGACTCAGGCTTTGTCAAAGCTGGGGGCAAGGGTCCATCACTCCCTTTTTGCTGTAGCCCTCTGAGTCCTTCCTTGAGGGCCTCCCAAGTGATCGTGTCTGGCTTAGGTTGCCCCCCCTCTGAGGGGTCTTGCCCATCATTGGCTGACTAAGCATTGGAGGCCAGAGACGGATGAAGCAGAAGCAGTGCTCCTGCCAGGGAGATAAGCTTTGTCTCCTTTGGCTCACAGTCCGAAGGTCGCTCACTCAGCGTTATCTATGGGGGGTTTACAGCTCCTGAAACCAGGCAGGGCGGTTCCCAACAACCCTCCAATTACAGAGTAGAAAATTGAGATAAAGAGAGTTCATGTGATTTATCTAAGATCACACTAACAAGTCAAGGAGCCAGGGTTCCCCCTAGACCCTTTGGTTGCAGACAATATTAAGATTGGTTTTCATTTTCAGAGTACCAGTTTCCTAGGAGCAGATGGAGTTGGGCTAGAAATGTATTTAGAAGTGGATTGATGATATATGTGGTCCTTCATTAGCATAATTGTGGCCTCAGTTTAAAATTAGAACATTTAGTTTGTGTTACTCAAATCAGATATGGGACCTTTTCTTAGAGATCTAGAATTATAAGTAACTCATCAACATATTGATTTGATTTTCCATGTTAAAAAGTTGCATGGGAAATAAAACCCAGTGGCATCATATGAGGCAATTTAGATCATGCTCATAATACAGATGAGAACATTGCAGACTATTTCTTAGCAAGAGAATTTTTAAAGTTCTGACAAGCTCACATGTGTAAAAGAAGCTAGTAATAATTTATATTTCAAATATGTATTCTCTGTTTAGGCACATTAATTTTTTAACCACTGGGCATATTGTTGAGAAAGATATCATTTTAATCACACTGGTTGTTGAGCAGTGTGGTAGTGAAATGGATACACACATACACCAGGATATTTGTCTCAGTTTACAGTGATACAGTCAGACTTGTTATCCACGTCACCTGCTCTTGTTTACCCCATCTTCTCTGTCTCACCAATACATGTTAGTCCCAGAAAGAAAGTGTGTCTATTTCTACCACCCCTTAGTTTAAAAATTTTAAACATACTCTATTTTTCCTAGAAGTTAGCATTAAAATACTATTTGTGACCTTCACTTAAAATTGTTTGCTACTATTATTTCAAAAAATAACAATATGGACAATTACTTCTCTTTGGTTTTGTGCATAGTAATAACTACTTAGGCAGAGCTGAAATAGAGAAGTAGTTTGATCGAATAGAAAGTGTACTAGGAGAGTTGAGGTTTAAATATCAGACTTCACTGTGTGGTAGTGAGCATAGTGAGCAGTTTGTAAAAGTTTTCCTGCTGTTCTGTTTCATCATATATAAAATAAGAGGCTCAGGAAGTTTGGGGTGCACAGGCACACAGGCATTATGCTGTTGGCTCCGCCCCTTCTCAAGGAATTGGGTGCAGGTGCTCACTGTGGTCCATTAGAAATGATCCAGAGATGAAACCAACCTATGGGATTAAATGTAAGGTAAGTTGGTTCCTCCCTTCCACCCCTTTCCAAAGTCATACCTGAGAAAATAAGTTTGTATTTTTACAAAGTCTCTATGAGGCATTCTATTTTGAAACAGTAAACTACTGTTCAAGAAGACACCGCCTGAAAACTCAATTAATGGTAGGTTTGTGTGCGTATGAACGTCCCCCGACAGATTCTTTGGGGAAGGAGACACTTTGCACTGATTTGGGGCATAGTTTTATAATTACAATTGTTAGGTATTATAAATGAGTCTTTTGAAGATGACTTTAAAAGGAAGTATGCTAAGTGCTGATCAAATTATGATCAAGGACAAATTTTTAAAAAATTACCCATTTGTTGCCAACTGCTACTTTTGTAAAAAAAAAAAAAAAAAAAAAGAAAAATGCTTTAAATTAGAAAAATGCTTTACAAATGACCATCACAGTAGAAACCAAAATTCAGTAGACAAAATTACTGTGCCTAATTGCTGTGAAAGTTTCTAAAGCAGTCTTTTAATTTTTACGAGAAATAGTTCGTAGTGTGACATTGGCCACGAACCAAACCTTGAGTGGCATTGCCACAAGTGGTTATTTATATGCAGGGGTCACAGATATGCATGTACAGGATGGATGAAAAAAATAATGTTTCCTACTCATGAAAATTGTGGCATGGGGGTGAGAATGGTTGTTGGTCATGCGTTAGGTCAGAGTTTAGTAACATCGGCTATCAGCTTTGTAGGATTGTTACTGGAACGCAGCTAGCTACACACATTCACCTGTGTTTTGTCTATAACAGACTTGGGTAATTGTGACTGAGAGCGTGTGATATGCAAAGCCTAAAATTTTTAATGGGAGGTCCTTTGTGAAAGAGTTTGCCAACTCCTGCTTTAGGTCTGAAAATGATAATTATGAATGGTTGCTACTTATATAGTGCTTATTTCTTTTTGGAGGGGACTATATTATCTTTGTTTTAATGCATTGGATATATTATCATTTTACTTTTTTATTCTAGTTACTGATGTGCCTCAGATAGATTTGGAGAAAGGTGAAGAAAATAAATGGATCAGTAAAGATCAAATAAAGAAGAGGAAAAAAAAGCACAAAGACTATCAACCCAACTATTTCCTCTCCATTCCGATCACCAACAAAGAGGTGCTATTTAAAAAAAAATACAACTAATTTTATTATAAAGTTTTAAATTATATTTAAAGTACACTAAATACTTAACTTGCAAGCCCATCTGCTCTCAGCTTTTAAGAGTCTTTGTTGGCATTTTAACTGGGCCATACAGGGAATATTCCTGCTTAAATGGAATATATTTTTAAAATAATTTTGAAAAATATTATTTCAACAATCATGTTTAGACAGTTTTGCAAAAGCCGTTTGAAAAAGCATTGCCAGATGGCATGTTAAATTTCTTTCTAAGCATTTGTTCACCATAACAGGCAACTTTCAGAAGCTGAGAGCAGAGACGAGGTGTAAAAGGGGATTCTGGAATCTTTGCTGGGAAGGTAGATCGGGGTTTCTTGCTGCTTAGTCCTGTTTACAGTAATGATGATTACAACATAGTTTCTTTGAAAATTACTCCTTGTCATGTCAACTTAATATTACACGACAGACTTGGTAGAAATCTACTAAAAATCTGAAAAATTAATGATATGAATAGGAAATTAGCTGATTATGCCACACTAGGAAACCCTTACATGTGGCTGAGAAAGAAAACTACAGTATCTACTTAAATTTGTTACAGCAGCGAGGTAGGAGATGAGATCCTTACAAAAGAAGGCCTCACTTGGGAGACTGACTGCTTTTACACTGGCCCAGTTTAAGAGCCAGATATGAATTTCTGTTTGATTGGGGGTTATAATCTCTTTTACTAGGTGCATTTTCAGTTTGCTTCTCCCCTTACTTAACTAAGATATTTCTAGGGAATGCTTATGAATTTTTAAAAATCAAACAAAATTGAAGTAAAAAATATCAAAAGAAAAAATTCTGTTGAGGCATTTTAGGAAATATGTAGTCTATGAGGTGAGGTTTAGCCAGGGAGAGAAGACAAATAAAAAGAGATATATATTCCTAACAATCCAAGATTTTAGAATCACATTCTGATTGTACTGGTACATACTGGTGGGTTAACAGTTCAATAATTCTTAAAAGTATTTAGTTTACTGTAACTAACAAATATATATTATTTTGAAATAGTTGTGAGTTATTTGGAAAGGTTTCTTTGACATGAAGACTTGTGTGTGCACATGGGAATTGGAAGAGAGTGGGAAGTCAACAGTGGTACTTAGCCCAGCAGTTAGAAGCCAGGTCCTGCAGAAACTGAATATGAAACAGGAGAAGTGACCTCCCCAAGGATATGTGGTTGATGACTGGAAGAGACTCCAAGTTCCTTATTTTGATTTGTTGCTTAAAAAGTGTTCCACTGTGGAGTTGGTTAGCATAGAAGTTGTTAAAACTTCCATACATTGCTTTCATTAGGCCCTTTATCTTCCCTTTTCTTCACCCTCCACCGTTGGCTTTCATGCTGATCCGAACAGCACCTCCTCATCCTGCTTCATGCCTGTTCCAAGGTGACAGACAGGGAGGAGGATGGGATACCTGTCTGCAAGTCTTAGTTCTCACAGAGCAGCCTTTGTTTCTGCTTCTAGGCTTCTGGGATGTTGTGTAGAAAGTGGCAAGAGTACACATTTGGAGCCTGACAGACCTTGTTCAAATACCGGCTAGGTCACAAACTAACTGGTGGATGCAGGTCAGGTTACTGAATTTCTGTAGTTTGTTTCTTCGGGTGTGAAAAGGAGGTGGTAATGATTATTTTCTAAATCCAAATCTGGACATGTCGCTTCCTTGCCTGTATATTTCATTCTTTTCCCATTGACTTTAGAATAAAGACAAAGTTTGTCATATTCTGTAAGATTCTGCATTTTCTGACCTCCCCTACAGCCCTCTTCTGCTGGAAGCCCCTCTGGCCTTCCTTGAACTTGCGGAGTTCCCGCTGCCCCGGGGAAAGCCTTCTCTGGCTGCGCATTTTCCTTCCTCTCTTGGTTTTACTAATGCCAAAATCTCAGCTCAAGCCTGTCAGCTATGACCACCCTGACTAGGTCAATCTTCCCTTCCCCCAAAGGATTTTCATCACTTTCCTTTTGTCATTTGTCATCCTTGCAATTTGACACTTGTTAGTTTTCCTCACAAAGATTTTCAACTTTTTCTCAGTACCTAGAATAGTGATTGGCCAAGAGTAAACACAAGATAATCCCATTTCAGAGACAAAAGATGTGTTTCTGGCACACTGAGTTATAACCAGAACATTACAAATAGTAAATACAATGTTATAATTGTTGGTTTTATAATACAGGTTCAACAGTAGTTTGTCTTCAGGGGGCTAGGGTAACTTGTAATAATGGGGAATAGAGTTTCCAAGTGACCTCGAAATCAACTACTTCAGTGTTTCCCTCTCAACATATTTGTAGGTAACAGGAAGCTTAAGTATAAACTCGAGGTTGAAAAGTAAGAATGGGACCTCAGGAGATACATTTTTATATCTTTTGTATGAGCATCTTTTTTTGTTTGTTTATTTTCAAGTATCTAATGTTAATTTTCTTTTTAAGCTACTTACTGGAGCCTTTGTGGGAAGGCCTGGGAAAGGCAGCAGCATTTAGAACATGGTTTCAATGGGAGACTGAGTGCCAGACTCCAATTAAGTGACCTGCAAACAAGCCTTTGGAAGCCGGCACATTGACAATGAGTTGCTCTACTTTTGGCCTCCACTTGTTGGCATCTAGTTTTAAAGAAAAAAGTTTTCAGACTTACATGGATCTTTGATTTTTAAACATGTTCTTAGATGTTTCAAATTCTTTATTAATGGAGGATCATGATTTCATATTTTAAAAAAATAGAATTGGAAAATCAATTGGACCGGCTGCATAAAAATATCCTAATTTCAAGTATATGAAAGTATGTGTTTCTCCATTATCTGCAGCTACACATTAGTTTGAATATCAAAATGAAGAAAACTTAATGGAGTTATAATAAATCTTTAATGTTTTCTAACTGACTAGATTTTATATGCTCTCTTATGAGAAGTAATAATATAAGGTAAATCAACATTGGAAAATGTAAGGGAATAATCAGAAGCTGATTGAAGAAATTTTAGGAGTATGTTAATTTTTTATGAGATAAATTTTTATACTAATGGAAAAATATGATTTTGTTTAGAGATTTTGGAAGGCATTTATTACATTTAATTCTGTATTTCATCATTTTGTAATGTGAAAATTGCTGGTCTTAGGAAAAAGTGAAAGTAGATTTGTGCATTCAGTTTCTTTCTGGGAAATGTAATTGTGAAAATATTTAACATCATGTATATTAAGCACTTGGTAGATATAGAAAATTTTCCCCTTTGAGGGTAATGTTGTACTTTTCTTCAGTTATGACTATATCATCCTATTTTTAAGTTCTTTTCATGGTTGTAATTAAGCAAGAAAAATGAGAGTATTCAGCTTTGACAACAAGTTAGGTGGAGACGTGTCCAAAGTTGAGGTCAAAGACATTGGCTGTGTGGTAGAACATGCACACACTCCCTCACACATACTACCTTTAAGGTATTTTCTTTGAACTCATATATGCTTTGAGTCAATGAGAAAGCTTTAAAGATACAAAAATAGGTTTTTTCATTGCATTGTTTTTATGAATGTGGAATGTGGCTTAGTGGTGAGGTATAGCAGATGGATGTCTGATTTATCCTCTAAAAACCAAGAAGTTACTCAGTGAGTGAAATATTTAAGAAGTTAAAATTTTAAAAAAATTATATTTTATTGTATGCTATTACAGTTGTCCTGATTTTTCCCCTTTTTCCCCTTCCACCTAGCACCCCCCACTCCCTCAGGCAGCTCCCCCACCATTGTTTATGTCCATGGGTTGTGTGTATAAGTTCTTTGGCTACTCCATTTCCTACACTCTACTTTACATCCCCATGGCTATTCTGTAACTGCTTACTTGTGCTTCTTAATCCCATCACCTTTACACATTCCCAACACCCACCACCCATATGGCAACCATCACAATGCCCTCCATATCCATGACTCTGTTTCTGTTCTTCTTGTTTGCTTAGTTTTTTAGATTCAATTGTTGATAGATTTATATCTTTTTCCATTTTATTGTCCATAGTTGTGATCACCTTTTATTTAAATAAGGCCCTTTAACATTTCATGTAATAATTATTTGGTGATAATAAACTCCTTTAGTTTTTCCTTGTCTGGGAAGCTCTTTATCTGCCCTTCAATTCTAAATGGTATTTTGGCTGGGTAGAGCAATCTTATCCGTAGGTCCCTGCCTTTCATGACTGTGAATATTTCTTGCCAATCCCATCTAGCCTGCAAAATTTCTTTTGAGAAATCAGCTGATGGTCTTATGGGAACTCCCCTGTAGGTAACTAACTCCTTTTCTCTTGTTGCTTTTAAGATTCTCTTTTTATCTTTAACCTTTGGCATTTTGATTATGATGTGTCTTAGAGTGTGCCTCTTTGCATCCATCTTGTTTGGGACTCTGTGCACTTCCTGGACATGCATGTCTATTTCCTTCACCAAATCAGGGAAGTGTTTTTTTAATAAAATTTTCAAATAGATTTCCAATTTCTTGCTCTTTTCTCTTCTTCTGTCACCTCTATGATGTAAGTGTTGAAATGCTTGAAGTTGTTCTAGAGACTGCATATACTATCCTCTTTATTTGGGGGGGTTCTTTTTTCTTCTTATTGTTCTGATTGGTTGGTTTTTTCTTCCTTATATTTCATATCATTGATTTGATTCTCAGCTTCATGCACTCTACTGTTGTTGCCCTGTAAATTGTTCTTTATTTCAATTAGTGTATCCTTCATTCTGACTGAATGTTTTTTATGCTGTTAATATCCTTACTAAGTTCCTCGAGCATCCTTATAACCAGTGTTTTGAACTCTGCATCTGAGAGATTGCTTGTTTCCGTTTCGTTTAGTGCTTTTTCTGGAGTTTTGATCTGTTCTCTCATTTGGGCCATGTTTCTTTATCTCCTTGATTTGGCAGCCTCCCTGTGTTTGTTTCCGTGTATTATGAAGAGTTGCTTTGACTCAGTGTCCTGACAGTGTGGCCTAATGTAGTAGGTGTCCTCTAGGGCCCAGTGGCACAGCCTCACCTATCCCCAAGCGGGGTACTCAAGGTATACCTTTGGGTGGGCTGAGTATACCATCCTCTTATAGTTGAACCTTGATTGTTGTTCACAGGTCAATGGGGGGGATTTCCCCAGGCCAGTCAGTTGCAAGGATTGACTGTGACCTCTGATGACCAGTCTCCACCGTCTGTGGAGGATCAGCTGTGCGGGGGCAGAATGGTGGTGCTCTGATGTGGTCTGTAGATGTCCACTGGGTGTGAAGGCTGAGGGGTTTCCTGGGTGATGCAGGCCAAGATCAGCCTCTGCTTGTGTTTTTGCCTGAGGCTACCTGCCTGAGCTTTAAAGCAATCTGAGATGGCTACTGGTGGTGGGCTTGGAGAGTCCCAGGAGAAGCTGTGAATCTAGGCTGGCTGCTGCTTGTTTGATGCGATTTTGAAGTTGTGAAGCGTGAATCAAGACCAGCCATTCATACGGAAAAACAGCTTAGGTGGGTTGAAAGCTGGGTGGGGCAGATTCTCTGGACATGAGTCAAACAGTGTTAGCCAGGTGGATGCAGTCTCAGATTTGGCATCAGCTTGCTGGCTCTGTGTGTAGGGGGAGGATTTAGAGAAGGGACTGTGGCCCCTGCTCACGTTGATGCCAGACCCATCAGTTTCTGTCTGTATACTACTGGTCCTTTCAAACTGCGACCCAGTGCTGGAGCTCAGAGGGAGTGAGTCTGAGTAGGTGAGTCCATGTGTGTGTTCTTTAAGAGGAACTGCTTAGGGCTCTAGAAGTTTCTTCCACCGACTTGATCCCTGCTGGTTTTTGCAGTGAGAAGTTACAGGGACTTATCTTTCTGGCACTAGGATCCCAGACTGGGGGCTGATGTGGGTCTGGGACTCCTTGCTCTGAGATATCCCTCCCAAGTTTATATGCACCATATGTGGGTGAGGGACCAGCTGGTTTTGCAGCTGCAGCTGTCCTACCAATCTAGATGGACATGGTTTATTTAATTCCGTAGTTCTTAGAGTTCCATTCAACTCAATTTCTGATGGTTCTGAGTGATTGTTGTTCTATATTTTAGTTGTAATTTTGATGTGGTTGTGCAAAGAGGTGAGCCATGTCTGTCTATTCCACCATCGTGACCAGAAGTGAAGTTAATAAAGCTTTTTATTTTAAAAGGTTTCTTTCAATGTCATATTTTAATATGACTTTACAGTATTAGTCATTGTGCAATACTGCCAATGGCTGTGGGTTATGGTGAAAGATAAGCTTTAATGGATTTATAGCATTTTAAACAGTGGCTATAAAAATTAGTTTCCTTTGGCCTTTAATGACATTGGTGCTTTTTTAATGGCATACGGACAAGACTCTGAAGTATTTTTTCTTTTTATCTCTTAAGAATGCAATTAGGAATAAAATGTGTTTTAAAAATGTTAAGATGATATCAAGGAATACATAAATTAATTTGGCCATCAAAGAATAATTAGACATATATTACTTGATTAAGTTAACATTACAGTTTTCATAGTTTTGAGGTTAATCTTGCATTATAAGTACTGTGTGACTTCAGAGAAATCGTCTTCAAAGTGTTGTACATTTGTTAATTAGCAACTTTACAAGCTACTGGATAAATCAAAGGTATGAATGGTCTAAAAGTTTTTTAGCATTGCACTAAAATGTTGCATATGCAAATAAATGGAATTCTTTGAGTGTTGTCCTGAATTTACATATAATTATTATGTGACTTTAGAATGAAAACTAATGTTTTAAAACTAAGAAAATGCAAATACTGTACCCATAAGATACAAGTAGCAAACTTACATTTTGTTACAACCAAAATGTAACCAGACATTGCCAAATAAATATCCTCTGGGAGGCAAAATTGCCCAGGATAGAGAGCCACTGATTTTGACATCATTGTCAGTGTTGCACACCTTCTGTTAGGCGAATGGTATACACTTTACCGTGGAGCTTGTTCACTGTGATCTTGAACACACCTTTGGCAGCACACATTTTATTATTCCTGTTTGGCAGTGGGAGAAACCAAGACTCAGTGACACAGGGTGACTTGGACCAGGTCACACCTGTGGCAGACACAGGGTTCAAATCAAGGGTTTATGAGGCAGGGCCAGCAGCCTTCATTCATTGCATCACTCTATATTATTGTCTGAGAACAGCCAATTGGATGAGAACAAAATTCTCATCTTCAGCCACTTGTTCATTACAGTTGAACCAGAATTACTATCAGTATCAGCTGAGGTTAGCAGATGTAATTATATTGTCTTGAAGTCTGACATCTTCTTGGACGTGTTTAGGCCCTGTCTGTATGAACCTGGACCTTCTTTAGCTGCTTCATTATTTCCAAAAGCAAATTTCAGCACTTCATTGCACCGGGGAAAAAACTCTTAAATTTAAATTAAAATTTAATATGGACTTACACTACGGCCTTTTTTTTTTTTTTTTTTTTTTTTTTTTTTTTTACTTTTTGAGGTCAGTGTATTCCATTACACAGGATCCACTAAGATTTCCTGAAAAAAATCCCCTTTAGGTGTCTTTTCCCCCTCGGTGCTACGTTTCTTAAGTCAGCACCCACATCTCTGAGCCTCTCCTTGCCTCGGTGAAGACAAATTCCTTGTAACTCCACTGCTCTTTAGCGACAGCTCCTCCTCCTCACCCTTTCCAATTCTTCTAGGTGCCTCCCTCATCTCTTCTCATATACTGCAATTTATTCTTGTCTCAAGTTCCTTTACTGCTTGTCGTGTATGATCTTAAAGGAATTTTTTACTCTTCTGTGTTTCAACTTTTTAGCTAGAAGTAATACCAATGTCCATCTCTTAGTATCAAAGAGAGGCTTCGGTGAATTAAGGTATGTAAAAAGTTTACTGTAGTGCTTAGAACCAAGTGGCCACACAGTAATGGTTAGTTACTGCTGTCATTGGTTAAATAATTGTTTTTATTATTATTAGCAGGCACTGTGGTAAGATGGTGAGCTAGAAGATCTAGATATTGCCCTTCAGGAGTTTATAATTTAGTTTTATCAAAATAGAGTAGAGGAAACTGTGGCTCTATAAGATCTTTGTGTACTGTTATGTTCCGAGCGTTTTATATTTACCAGGCCAGTATTCTTTTCTTGGGTGGCATAGAAGTGACATCTTTCATAGGAAAATATTGTTCCCTGTTATTGTGTAAATTCCTCCCAGGAAAATGCTGTTTCCTGTGCACTCCCTTCCAGATTACCAGGAGTAGAGAAACTCGGAGGTTCTTTTGGGTGATGTAGATTTATTGTAAAGATACATGAGCAGCAGTCAGGTCCCAGGAGAGCATCCCGTGATTCGCCCAGTCTCTCTCCACAGAAAATGGGAGCATTGTTCGGGATAAAACAGCTGCTCTCGTCTCAGAACAGTCTGCTGTGCTCATGATTCCGTTTTTTCTTATCTCGCTGTCTTTTTACTGACTCTGCTTCTATTGCCAGGCCCTCCCTTCTCTCTGACAAATTCTGCTGCCTCAGGGCTTCTCTGTGCTCTCTTTTCTCAGGTAGGGCCCAGGTCACTATTTCATATTTGAACTATTTTCCAGTACATTCACATTTAGAAGTTGGCTAGCGCTGGGTGTAACTGGACCTGAGCAGGGGAGAGGCACCATTCCTCTTCTCGTTTCCAAGTAGATAGTAGAGGGAGGCTGATAAGGGACCTGGGACTTCCCTGGACGCAGATGGTAGTGGCTTTTCTAACACACCTATTTGCACTTCTTTGCCATTCTTCCTCCTCGCATGTCTGGAAAAATGACAGTGGTCGTTCGAGTCAAAACTATCGCTGTTTTAAAAAAATCTTAAATAAGGCCATGAAGGATGAGTTCTTAGACACATTCATTAGGGGAAACATAAATATGACTTTCAACAGAAACAGACTGTTGTCTGCTGGTTTGATCTTTCTGTGCAAGAATAAAACTTTTTTTAGAAAAGAGCATAATTATTGTAGGTTATACTGTACATTCATTGACAAGTTTCTGAAGAAATGCACAGCCATTGAAAGTTTTTCTACTCAACTAGTGACCCATTCTATAAAATAAGGGTGTTAGGCTCCATGTTCTTAAGATGGATAAGCACTGTATAATTTTTAAAACTGATACATGCTGTTAAGCTTTCCAAGCCATCTATTAGGATATTTGAGAACAAGTAGACAATTAAGAATTAATTGGTTGAAGAATTTTGCCATTTCTGATTTTGGTTTGTTGCTTAATTTTCTTTTTGATTTATAGTTTGTCATAAGGAAATTTTGCTTACTTAATCTCTATTTTGTGTGTATGTGTGAGGATTAGATTACAAGAGGAATTAAGATCCTACAAAATGCAATAATCCAACAAGATAAGCGGCTGGCCAAGGCAATGACCAGTCATGGCTCCTTTCACATTACCCTGCTGGTGATGCAGCTGTTAAACGAAGATGAAGTGAACATGTGAGTAATGTGTCTTTCTTGAATGTTGTTTTTCAAAGTATTACTTTGATATGAATACACATAGCATAACCTAAAAGGCACTTAAATTCTACAGAAGCATTCTTTATTATATTAATTTATTCTAATTAATAGCATACAGAATTAGCTGTGTAAATGCTCTTTCTAACCTAGACTTTTAAACTCTGTTTTTCTTATCAAATGGTAGCCCTTGATTATGCAGTTTTTTGCCCATGTTAATTATGCAGGCACTTTGGAGTCTGACAATTTAGGTTAGGATTCTAGGTAAAGACTCTGGAATATGCCATAGCACAATCATCTCCTAATAGGTGCCTGATTTTAAAAAAAACTATTTACTTCTTAAGTAAATGGAAAAAAATAACAGGACTAATACATGTAAGAGTTCTCAGTATGGGGCCTGGCTCATAGTAGACACTCAATATTATTACCTATTAGAACTGTTGTTCAGCCAGGTCAGTGTAGAATTTCAGCTTTACCTCTCTCATTTTAGAGTCCCTGTGCTTTCCCCACTCCCAATACCAGGCTTGTGCCACAAAGGTTTTGACTGTTGCTTTCCAACCTGGAGTGGAGAAACCTTGCTCTCCCCCGAGGGATTCTCTGGGATACTCTGTATATACATGAGATCACCCCTTTCCAGTTACCCTTTGTATAGATCTCTGTAATTAGCTCAAGTTCAGGAGTTGAACCTGCAACCTTTTGGTGTACAGGGCAACACTCTAACCAATTGAGCAACCCTGCCAGGGCATTATTGTGATGGTAGTTATGTCTTTTAAACAGCAGAACCTCATGTCTTTAGAGATTCATCTTCCGATGCACCCCAACCTGCTCTACTCAAGAGCAAGTCTTGAGCACCCTGCAGTGTCAGAGAGGACTAGAAGATTTTACTTGGCTTACTTGAACTGTTCATTTTGCCAGTCAGAAGAAAAATATAAACAAAAACAAAACTCTGATGGTCTTAAAAGGGGCCAAAGAAGCTGTGACACAGATGAAAGCCATAGGGAAAAAGAGAACTTGCCCTGTGTGTGTTGGAAGGGTGTGAGCCGGCATTCTCCAGAGAAACAGAACTGATAGGATGTACATCTCTGCGGGTAGCTAGATATATTGATATCTCTCTCTACCTACCTCTATTTATTACTATCTATATCTACTTGTATATCATCTATATCTATATTTACTTTAAGGAATTAGCTCCCGTAATTGTGGGGGCTGGCAAGCCCAGAATCTGTCAGGCAGCCCGTCTGGCGGAGACCTGGGGAGAGTCGATGTCGCAGTCTCAGGCTCAGCGGCAGTCTAGCGGCAGAATTCCCTCTGTTGTGGAGGATGGCTGTCCTGTCTAAATTTCAGATACAGTCTTTGGGGCTGACCTCCAGTTTCAGAGTTCTGTTTCCCATGCGTGTATACTTTTTACTCATTGTACCACACAGAAGTCTTTTCATAAACTACTCTTGAAAAGATACTCTACTTAAAAGAATTTGAAAGCTAGTGATGATACTTACCATAGATCTCTGAGTCCTTCCTACTCTGTGATTGATGACGTCTCTGTGGGACAAATGCATTGATTTATGCAACTAGAGAATTGAACAATTGGACTAAGTCTAGATGATCTGTATTTATTTAAAGAAAAATGGGGTATAGAATTCTCTGTCTCTGAAAAGCCCTAACCTCGAGATGGCTTGCTTTAGCACATAGTTACATTTAAAATGAGTATCACAAATTCCTCTGATTTATAATAGGTGAGCCAGAAATGGCTGTTCTGTTGTTACATGCTTTAACTCAGAGCACTCAGGGAAGGACAGTATTGCAGGACAAATGTGTGCATTGTGTCTTTTTGGATGAACATGAATACAGTCAGGAAAGATTGGTTTTAGGATGGGGATTTGCAGATCTAATGAGCAATGTGGACATTTCCAGAGCTATTTTAAGTATTGTACATTATGTTATGACAGAAATGAGTCTCACCGTGGAAGCTATGGACGATCATCAGTTAAAAACTTTATGTGAAAACTAATTTATAGATATAAAATATCTAGAAAAATACATAAATTTTATATACATTTAACATGTAATTACTGTTGAGCTAATCACTGATTAAGATAATTTAATGGTGGTTCACTCTAAAGGTATTTGTTTTAAAGCCCTCTCTATAAACTAAGAATGTACTTATTTCTTTTTTGAGTAATTGCTGCCCTCTAGTGAGATTTTAATTTTTTTCTCATAATAAAGTAGCTATACCAAAATCTTTTTAAGATAGAAATAACTGGTTCTAATTTATAAATTATTCCAGACCTAATAATGTCCAATTAATTAATATAGTAAATATTTGATTTTGAAGAAAAAATCAAGGACTTGAAATAGAATAGCTTTATAATGACATAGGTAAAGCACATATAACAAACACATAGTTGCATTTGTCAAATATAAACTTACATTTTTTTGTTGAATCCAAGTATAGTAAATTATTTTATTGTGGAGACACATTTTAAGAGATAATTTATATTAAGTTTTAGTAGAGTGCCTTGCAAATAGTAAATACTGTATAAGTATTAGTGCTTCGAACAAGAATCTAGTTCATACAATCTAATGTAAGCTCTTGTAGGTGTTAGGGTTCTTGAAATATGAGTCATTTTTTTTCTGAAATGTACATGCAGTATTTCCTTGTTGAAAAATTCTTGGTGAACTATGAAATAGTATTTTCTTTCATATCTTTAATATAATAGACATTATAATTAGGTAAAGATTTAATTCACTTCTTCCATAGTTTTTATTTAAAAATTAACATTTTATCTAATTATATAGATTAGATTTTGAAGGTATTTTATACTTTAAAATAATTAGTACAAATATCTAGATTACTTTATATTTCTAAAACTGATGACTTTATTTCATGTTTGGTTTTGTATATATTATCACTTAATATGTTACTGAAAAATATCTTATCTCTTGCTAGTGGTATTGATGCTTTGTTGGAATTACAACCACTCATAGAAGAAATCCTTCAGGGAAGACACTTGACTTTGCCCTTTCAAGGGATTGACACTTTTGGAAATCAGGTTGGATTTGTGAAGTTGGCAGAAGGAGATCATATGAACCCACTTTTGGAGATTGCAGGTAAAACAAAAAGCAGCACACTCATCTGAAATCTCATCTGTTGAAGAACTAATCCCCCCCCCATTCTGGTTATAGAGATTTGACATCTTTTAACTCAGAGAAGCCAGTATAATCTTACTTGAAAAGTGAGCTTCTTCAGCGTTTTCTAGTGTTGGTAGGAAGCTACATAAAAGGCCTGAAAGTCATCTTGACTCTTTGACCTGAGGAATATGATGATTCTGAGGCTGTCTGAAAGGTGATAGGCTGGATTCAGGTATTTGTTAGGAGTGTCCTAATCCTGGACCTGAAGGATCTGAGGATTAGAGTGACGCTTGGTGTGTACTTGGCATTTGATAAGTATCGAGTGAATGAAGAAGAGTCACCAGTTGTCCTGGTTGCTCAGGACACCAGTTGCTCCGAGGTTTGGGGGATTGCCAGCCCTAATCCACAGGGTCAGTAGATAATCCAGCAGCATTTTCCTCTGTGCTGCTTTCCTCGTCCTCTGTAGGTACTACTTCCGGAGCAGAAGGTCCACTGGTGATGGAACAAGGTCTCACATCCACTGGAGAACATGTTACTTCGTGCAGCACAGTTGAAAATAGTTGGGGAAGTAGAAGCAGAAAATTACACAACCCAGATGAGTGACTTTTGAGTTGATCCAGATCATAGGTTGGGTGGGAGTCTACAAACTGTAAACCACTTTCATTTTCATTTCCTGTCATATCTCATCATTTCACATTGTGTCATTTCAGGTTCAATAATCCTCAGTTCATAACACACCTTGTCATTGGTCTATGCTTAGTCTACTTTTATCTGTTTATCTATCTACCTTAAATTAATATCTTAATCACTAGGGAATCCCCAACCTAACATGAAAGCTATGCAGTAATCTATGATATTGTCAATCCTTATTGTTCTTTTCACCTATCCATCTCTTAGCCTTCTTTCACTCACACTAATTGTAATCTTGAAGTCAGCATTTATGTCCTGGTATTCTCCTGAAGGGTATGTATTTTTAATTGACTTTCATCCTTTTTTAATCCTTACCTGAGGATATGCTTATTGATTTTAGAGAGAGACAAAGGGAGTGAGAGAGAAAGAGAGAGAGAGAGAGAGACAGAGAAACATTAATGTGAAAGAGAAACATCTAATTAGTTACCTCCTATATATTCCTGACTAGGGAATTGAACCCACAACCTAGATAATGTGCCCTAACTAGGGATCAAACTGCAACCTTTTGGTACACGGGATGATGCTTAAATCAACTGAGCCACCAGGCTAGGGCAAATTATAAAAAGGGTATCAGGTTGTACATGATCTTTTGAGATATACTTTTTTTCTTTACTTAATATTATATTGTCTCTATACAGTTTTATAGTTTCACATTCAAAAGTGCACATCTTTTTAGGGTGAGGCAAACATGAAGATTGGGTTTTATTTCATTGCTGGTTAAGTTCTTCTGTGGAGCAAAGTATATATATGTCTAAACAAACAAACATGCAAACAATTAAATAATATTTATGAGTCAAGTAGGACTAGGACTTAACATGATTAACTTGGCCAAGGAAAAGGCGACTCTCAACAGTTTTGATGGGAAAGCATGTGAGCACCTGTGCCCACAGTTAACAAACTCAGTCTGTTCTTTCTGACTGCTCTGGAGAAAATGGCAGATGTAGGTCTCTTCTGTTGTCATTTAAATATCTCTAAACTCAAGAAACATTTTAAATTAGTCATTAATTTATTGTTCTTTTAAATAGTTAAATGGGTGCTTGCAACATTGAGAATTCCATCCATTCTTAGAAAATATTCTCACAAAGGCAGTTCCTAATATTGATAAAAGATCCATTGTGTGCTGAGGAATGTGAAATTTAGTATGACTGTGAACCTGACCTTAGCTGTAGTGTGACCATGGACCCAAGGGTGTTATTTGTCATTTTAGAAAAGACCACTATTCCTGCAATTCCCTTTTTGATCCCAGAGACTGTTGCTTAAAAATATATATATGCTTTTCCATAAATTTAAACAGAACATTACCAAAAAATGGAAAATAGAGGGAGAAAAGCCCTTGGTCCCCCTTATATAATCACTGTTAATTTTGCTTTAAATCTTTATGTGTATATTGCATTATTGCTTTTGATTATTGTTTTTGTTGAATTTTATAGAAAATATAAATATTTGAATATTCGTATGCAGAGTTTTTATTGGAGTCTAATTCAATACTTCATTTATGCAATATTCAGATAGAATGTTCAATATATGGACTTTTGTCAATGTTTTACATCATTAGATTTTCTTTTAAAGAATAACTCAGGTTTAGTTTTGCTTAGTTCAATAGCATCAGTAAAATAATTTGTTTTGTGTCATATCTTATAAACTACTGAAATGATGTAGTCCAACTTTTAGAAGAATATATCCATTGACCGTAGATATATCCCATGGATATATAACAAGTTTTGTAATAAACTATGTATATGTGTATGCCTGTACAGAAATATTAAAATGTTATTTGTTCCAAATAATGGAGGCAGAGTTAGTTTGACTTAATGGAAACCAAGATAATTTCTAAAGAAAATAAATTTAATCATTAAAATATTGATAATGAACTTAAGTACATATCATGAAGTAAAACAACTTGAAAAGTAGTTTAATATTACAATTCATGAATAATCTTATTTGCCTAATTCTCATAGTGTTTTAAAATTTGCAAGTTAGAAGAAGCAAATTATTAAAATGTAATGTTGTTTTGGAAAAAAGGACTGAATTTTAGATATTAGTATGTGAACATATTGCTGAAAATTTGCAGGACAATGAGTAATTTAGAGATTTTAAACTGAACTGATGAACTATTACATCAGTTCTTGAATTGTGCATCTGGACATGATGCCAATAACTTCATTCTGGTCTAGGCTTGGTGGGCAGAGACCGATCACATCGATCGCATCTTCGTGCCGGCCATACATGCAGGTCTATGCTGTTAGCTGCTTGAGGGAGCTGGGGGGTGGCTGACAGCAGAGTCTAGGTCTCAGTTTCCTACTTGGATCCTTTTTCCTCGAATAAAATAGCACCTTCTCCCTTGCTAGCATTGCAGTAGCTCATAGAGCTAAGAAGATACTGAAAATTATGCATTTATATGGTATTTCTCCACATTTTACAATGGTGAAATTATACCAAGAAGTTCATTTGCATACAAATGAATGTGATTTCTCTTTTTTTTTTTTTCAGTGAACTGTAATTTTGTTAAGAAGTATTTTAGATTGAAAGATTGCGAAAAGTTTAGCCTACTGGAATTATAATAGTCCTTGCAATTTTTTTTAAATGAGAAAAGTGTGCTTGGTTAGCATGACAAAAGATTCTAAGTGTACTTATCTCATAAAAAGAAAAATGAAAATTTTAGGATATTCATTTGAATATTACACTTTTCTTACTTTGACTATAATTTTCCTCCAAAAGATGGAGAGAATATGCCCTATTTATGTGCCCTTTGTGGGGAATCTGTTTGGGTGCTGGTATTGTTGGGTCTTTCTAGGCTGCTCTATTAATTCAATTAAAATTCATTAAATAGGCCGAGGAAGCGACCACAAGCAAACAACAAAAACAACAAACCCCACCCAACGGGAAACGCGAGCAGCCGCGAGCTAGTACCACCGGCACGACCGGGCGCGGGTGAGGATTACAAAGGAGAACTCGCTCCCCGGGCGCGGGGCGCGGAATCCGAACAGACGTGCGAATCCAGTCGCACGGGTTCCAAACCCAGGATTGGACCTAGTGAGCAGCCCACCGGGTGAGCGACTACGGAGGAGTCAGTGGGGAGGCGGTGGCAGCGAGTTGACTGTGGGTGCCCGGTTACGCGCGGGTGAGGGAGTGAGCGGTGGGACCGGCAGTCATTTTCCCCGCTCTGACCACGCCCCCACATACAGCGTCACAACCCAGCGACCTGGGACTCCAAGGCGCCGCTTCTCTCACTTAAAGGGCCAGAACAGACCAAAAATGTCGCAGGGGGACCTCAAAGTCCCGGAGATAAATCTAAGTGACGAAGAAATAGCAAATCTCTCAGACGCACAGTTTAAAACACTGGTCGTCAGCTTCCTCACAGATCTGGTGGACTATAGCCACAAATTAGAGAAACATATGAAGGCCAAATTAAGGGAAATGAATGGAATTCCACAGGAAACCCATAGAGATGAAAAAAAAACTGGGACTCAACTCAATGGAGTGAACCAGAAGGAAGAAAAAAATGATCAATCAGAAAGGAATGAAGAAATAAGAATTCAGAAAAATGAGGAGAAGCTTAGGAACTTCCAGGACATCTATAAACGCTCCAATATCCGAATTATAGGGGTACCAGAAGGGGGAAAGACACAACCACCAGTGGAAAAACTATTTGAACAAATAATAAAAGAAAATTTCCCCAATCTGGCAAAGGAAACAGACTTCCAAGAAATCCAAGAAGCCCAGAGAGTACCAAAAAAGTTGGACTCAAGAAGAAACACACCAAGGCATATCATAATTACATTAGCCAAAATTAAAACGAAGGAGAGAATCCTGGAAGCAGCAAGAGCTAAGGGGACAATCACCTACAAAGGAGTCCCCATCAGGCTGTCAGCAGATTTCTCAAAAGAGACCTTACAGGCAAGAAGGGGCTGGAAAGAAATATTCCAAGTCATGAAAACTAAAGACCTACAACCAAGATTGCTCTACCCAGCAAAACTTTCATTTAGAACGGAAGGACAGATAAGGTGCAAAAATATTTGAATGCAGTTTATTAGATTAATATTTATGGATTTCATGGTAAGCAGTGCATTTGAATATATTCAGAACTTATAATACCACTTATTTAAGTATAATGTATTTTTCCAGCTTTAATTTTTAAATTTTAAAAGGTTTTTAATTTTTAACTTCAGAAGTTTTCAAATTTAGTTCAATTTATCTATTTTTACTTTTGTTGTCTGTGGTTTGGCATCATATCCAACAAATAATTGTTAAATCCAGGGTAATGAAGTTGTTTTCTTTTATGAGTTTTA